GGAAGAGTCCAGAAGAAGCCCTTTGACAAACTCCGACCACATCAAAGCTCAAAGTCTAGGGTCCAGCATTTTTGTGTTACGTGAACGAAAAATCCAAAGGTGTGGCAACGGGAAAACCGCATAAACCGTTCATTTTATACCCTCTCTCTCCACCCCCTCCCCACAAAACGATGATGGGAGTCTTTTGTAAAAGCAACAAGAGGAACATCACCAACTACGCTTGACCCAACGTGGGGCTCATCCCAAAGATGAACTCGGCAGAAACGCTAGCAAATGCTGTGCAAAGTGGACCACCGTGCCCGCGTAAGGAGACTTCATTCCTCCCTTTTAAACTGGTGCTGTGTGTGTGCCCTCACACAGGTGGGCTGAAAGGGAGCCCCCCACCCCAAATCCTAAATTCCCTATTACTAATGCTTCCCACTTCCAGGCGGGCAACGATAGCCTTCTCCCAGAACGATGCCCACGGAGCAGCGCCGAGGGCACGTGGGCGACCTACCCAGATGAGAAGCTGGGCCAGGACCACATTGCCCTTCCGGCAGGCCAGGTGCAGTGCCGTGCGGCCGTCCCCCTCCCCGCAGGTCTCGTTCACTTCGTCCCGGGAGCCGTGCGCCAGCAGCAAGATGACCATCCGTAGGTCCTCGTCGGCGGTGGCCCGCAGCAGGTGCTGGCCCGGGGACAGGTCCGTGCACGCCAGCGGGGCCAGGAAGAGCTTCTGCTCGTACTTGGCCCGGATCCACCTCTCCTTCTCTTCCCTGCAAGAGTCACCAGACAGGCGAGGTCATGATCGCGAGGCAGAACCGAGGCTGCACCCCTCTGCCCAGCCACCACCGTGTGCGTGGTGTGTGGTCCGGAGGCGTCCAGGGGGCAGTGACAAGTGTCTTCACCCGACACCAGGAAGCCCCGCTCGGGGGGGAAAGGCTTCCCTACAGTGCACAAAGTGGGTCCCCACCAGGAGCACCACCTGGGCACCTGTTAGAGATGCAGGTTCTCAGGCCCCGTCCCAGCCTCCAGAATCAGAAGCCCTGGGCTGTGTTTTAACCAGCCCTGCAGGGGATTCTGACGTCCTAAGGTGTGAGAACCAGGGATTGGCCTTGAGCTCTCATGTGATTTCTTTTTTTTTTGCGGTACGCAGGCCTCTCACTGTTGTGGCCTCTCCCGTTGCGGAGCACAGGCTCCAGATGCGCAGGCTCAGCGGCCACGGCTCACGGGCCCAGCCGCTCCGCGTCATGTGGGCTCTTCCCGGACCGGGGCACGAACCCGCGTCCCCTGCATCGGCAGGCGGACTCTCAACCACTGCGCCACCAGGGAAGCCCTCTCATGTGATTTCTTCTGCTTTTTGTGGCCCCAGAAGAATCACCCCGCTGCCCGGGGTCCCGCCCAACGCAGGATGGATGCCACAGGCTCGGAGGCCCGATCCACTTTAAGCAGCCACAGTCAGAGCCAGGATTACAGACCACTTGGCTGGAGTCCAGCGGGTAGGGTGGCCGGCGGGCTCTCCCACCTGGTGTGACCTCGAGGGCTTAGTTCTGAACCTCAGCGGCCGGGGAGGGGGTGTGTGTGAGCTCGGGGGTCTTATACACACTCCCATAGAAGAAAAGGCTGCTACAGACCACATATGAAAAGGCAGCGAACCCAATGGGGAAAAGAGATGCAAGTGAAGCTCGTGACCCTGCTCGGCTTTGTTAGCTCTCGGGATACGTGGGGGAGCCTCGGTGAGGGCGTCAACAACTCCTTCAAGACGAAGAGCAGCCGGGTGGGTTTTCCAGGGAAAGTGGGCTGAGGCCCAGCCTAGGAGGCCAGGCAGGTGGCCCCCTGAGGCCAGAGCTGAGTTAGGGTGCAGAGGGCAGGAGGACATGGGGAGGGAAGGTGTGAGGCACGATGCGCAGGGCAGCTGGTGGCCCTCCCCCAGGAGCATAACCCCAGGGGGGTGGGAGTGATAACAGGCCCACTCTCTGGGGCCCCAAGGGGACAGGATGTTGCCTGAGACATCCGGAAGGAGGGCTGGGGAAGGGAGGAGGGGGCAGGATGGGAAGAGAGGAGCTGAAGAGAGAGAGAGAAACCAACAGCAAGGTGTTTGCACTGACCGGAAGGAGGGGACCCCGGGCCGTCTACTTGTGCACTTGGGCCGCTAATGGTGGATTTGGGTGTCGCCTCTTCTAATAAAGGTGAAAACCACTGAAAACAACTCAGTAATCCTCAAGACTGCAGCACTGCTAGGGGAAAAAAAGTGGGGGGGCGGGAAATGCAGAAGACGGAAGTGAGATTTCACAAGTAGCTCTTGAAATGAGAGAGTCTGGGAACAGAATGGGGCCGGGGCTGGGAGACGGGGTAGGGGGAGCGGGGTGGGGGACCTTAGGCCGGACAGATGCTTTTTTTTTTTTTTTTTTTTGATGTGGACAATTTTTAAAAAGTCTTTATTGAATTTGTTACAATATTGCTTCTGTTTTATGGCCGCGAGGCATGTGGGATCCTAGCTCCGTGACCAGGGATTGAACCCGCACCCCCCTGCAGTGGAAGGCAAAGTCTTAACCACTGGACCGCCAGGGAAGTCCCCGGACGGATGCTCTTTGATGAGGCTGATGAAAGAAGAAACAGAAGCCCTAGAGATAAGAAGTGACTGTAATTACCCACAGAGACGTACATATACACTGATCCACAACTGCCCTCTCCTAAAACTCAGCATTTTCTCCGGGGGAGTCAGGAGGGTACATAGCTACAAACCACACAGAGGAATTACCTGGGGCCTCTGCTAGACTGGAGAAAGAAAACTCGTTACCCGTGACATTTTTCCTTTCCAAGTACAGAATAAAGGCCCTGTTTACACCTTTTACCCGTGTTTACATCGCTCCTAGGGATGCAGTGTCGGGTTAGCCCTAATCTGTTTCTAAATACTTAGGCAAACATTTTCTTCCAGGAGTAAATCTGGATTAGTTTTGCTTCACTTCCTGGTCCATACGAGGGACCCCCGAGCGACCCCCCGACCCTTTTCATTAGGCGATTTCCAGGACGAGCACGTGGCTGCAGCTGAGAACTCACACCAGCACCCGGAGGCCGGCTGCACACCATCCCTTACTTGGGCCAAAATACAAGCACAAAAGCGCCGGCAACACCTTGGAAATACCGGAAGAGGTGAAAGACGAAAAAACCCCAGGCCGGGACGTGCTTTTCGTGTTATTTAAAAACCTTATTTCAAATGTATTAAACATATGTTGATGCATTTCATAAATCGCCGAAGAGCAAAACGTGAATTAAATGAAAAGGGACAGTAGTGGGGGAGATACAGCCAGATTTTCAAGTTCCAATCTGCTAATTCTCATTTCTTGGTAGGCATTAAAATCAGACCTCTTTTACTCTGCTCCGGTTGATTTTAATACTCATTGCCAAGTCATTCAGGGGTAAACCAGAGGATGGAACATGGTAGCTATAGTCCTAACTGCAATTATTCCATTTTCTTTTTAATATTCGAAGACCCCAGCCAAAGAACGAGGTCAGACCCCCCAGCTTCCAGCTCCTCTGCCGTGGTCCGTGTGGTCTCTTGGGGAACGCCCCACCCCAAGCTCACCTGAATTCACTGACCTCGACACATGTCTGAATGATGAGCGTGTTTAAGCTGTTCCTTGCTTTTAAAAATCAGTGTCGTTCGCAATACGTAATAAAGGCAGGTCCAGGTTTCGTGGGGCTAAAAACACATACCATTTGGGGAGCCTTCTGTAAGAGGAACACTCTGAGATTACGTTTGTGAAATGAGGAACAGGGATGAGGGCCTGGGGCTTGGGCTTCCTTAGCTTGGAGCGGGGTGATGATTATTTGTAAGGGTTTCAGAACCTCCAACAATTCAAATACAGAAAACAGGCTTGATACTGGGAACCGTCCCCAAGCGATGCTGCGAGGAGACAAAAGCAGTGAAAGCCTCTAGGCAGCCTTCTCGCTGGGGTCCACCTTTCCCAGCCCCATGTCCACATGGCCCCTCACCTCCACCAAGGGCGCCCCCAGATCTGTTCAATGCATGGTTTTTATTATCTGACAGGACCACGGCTCTTCACCAACACTTCTTGGGTTATTTAAAAACAAGCATTCGACGCTGGCTTCTGGGTCCTGCAGGACGGTGATGGTTCAGTGTTTTTTTTTTTTTTTTTCCCGGACACCAGGAGGCCAGAGAGCAAAGGCAGGCAGACAACTGGGCCTTGAGTCTGTGTCAGGCAGGCTGCTTTCTCCACCACTGAAATCCGGCTGGAAGGAACAGGGGATTCAGGAACGTTTCCGTTTCGTGGGAGCTAATTCAGCAACCCCCACGCGTGCATCAGCACTTCCTGTTAGTTACAGCCTATGTCCTGTGGTCACTGTCCACGCTAACAAACTAGGAGGAAAGCTTAATTCTGCATGCTTCCTGCAGTGGCCAGAGGGAGGGAAAAGAGAATCCACACGGAGCTAAAAGGCTGCGGTTTTCGGCCTTGGAGAGGCTGGCGTTTATGTGCCTGCTTTGTTCTTCTTTGTGGTGCAGACTTTTGCAACTTCAGTCACTTCCTGGGCCCTCGTTTCTTCACCTGTAAAACGGGCACAGTGACGTCTACAGCAGGCAAGGCGGTTTTGGAATTTGAAGTCACGCGTTCGGATGATGTGCCGGCCGTACACAGTGGTCACCTGACAAATGGCAGCCGTGGCTGTCGTGATGCTTGAAGAGAATAACATCTCAAGATTCGCTCTGCTATCGTGCACATAAGCGCTCCCCATGGGGGTGTCGCGGGTGATGAGGTGGTGTTGGGGGCAGGGGGGTGCGGCCTGACACTCCCGCTGGGTGGGCGAGGGGACCCTGGCCAGAGGCCTTGACAAACCCATGGGTGTCCTGTGGGGCTCCCCCTCCAGGGTGCAGGAGGACCTGAGACACTGGGGTGAGGAGTGCTCAGCAAATTCAAATGACCCCATAGCTGTCAGGACCTCTGGGGCCAAGTCTGGTTGGCCTCTGCCTGTGGCCTTGAGGCATCTAAAGCCTTCCTGGATGTTATGGACTGAACTGTGTCCCCGCCCCCCCCCCACCACCCCCTGACTGTATTTGAAAACAGAGCATTTAGGAAGTAATCGAGGTGGACTGAGGTCACTGTCCTGGTCCGTATAAGAAGGGGAAGAGACAGCTGGGGGTCTTTCTCCCCGTGCACAGAGGAGAGGACACAGCCGGTAGGCGGGTCTGCAGGTCAGGAAGAGGCCTCAACAGAAACCAACCCTGCCGACACCCTGACCTTGGATTTTCAGCCTCCGGAGCTGTGAGAAAATAAACTTCTATTATTTAACCCTTCCTCCTCCTCTACCCACGTCTACGGTATTTTGCTATGGCAGCTGGTCTGACTAATACACTGGACAGCCACATGGTCCATTGTTTCCACTTGGCTTCTGTGCCAACAGTTACCATGGGAAAGATGGATACTCTGACAATGTTTCCTTTTCTGCGAGAATATTCTGTCTAAAACCATTTGCCCCAAGAAACCATGATGCCAAAGCACAGATACCCTAATGGTGACTCTGACGTCCCAACCTTGCTTCTGGGATTCCCGGCTTGTCTCGGCCCAGCCTTTCTTTTTCCCCAAGGAAGGCCAGTTCAAGAGCAGTGTAGCTGGCAGTAGATCACCTCACCTCATTCCAGTCCCCTGGAGGCCCACTGCTCACAGCCTCCGTTAGCTAATGAGCTAAAAAATGAATTATTGGCACGGCTGGCCATCAGCAGAAAGGAGGAGGCCCCGCTCCTCATTTGAACCCTGCGGTGACGCACCTTTAAATAAATCAGCTGCACGGGACCAGGGAAAATGAGAGAACGGGCCACTCATCAGAAGACACCAACCCAATCCCCCCAAAGACAAAGACAAGATACAACTGAAAGCACAACAGTAAATATTTTCTCTCCTTCTTGCCTAAGATGAAACCCTTTCTAGGCAGCCTTCCATGCCCTCTGGGCCCAGGAAACTGCCTCACATGTGAGCCTGGGGCCCAGGTCTTGGAAGCCGTTGACTCCAGGGTCCTGTGGGGTCTGCCGGGCTCAGCTGGTATGCTAGGCCTGCAGCCTGACAGATGAGGCTTTGCCACACTTGACCTTGAGGGGTGTTGACTCGGCCAAGGCTCCACCAAAGGTGATCCCTGGGGCACACCTCACCTGCAACCCGCAGATTTAGTGCCTGCCAAGTGGAATCAACTGCCAGCACCAGTAAATACTGTGAGGCCCCACTGAGGAGGTGCTGTCTCCAAGCTACAGGAGCGCTTACCATGATGGTGCTGCTGGTGACGGTGACGATGGTGACAACAGTGACCGGCTTTGTTGACGATTCCTGACCCTGGAACACCCGCCGTGTTTTTACGAGTGACCTACATGTTGAATGCTGAACACCATGCATGTGTGACAGCAGAACTGTGGCCATATTTTGGGAAATCATGACATAAAGGAAAGGCTTCAGGAAAAGGGATGGGTCATTTTGGTGGCAAGCTTCAGAAGATGGGGAAAAGGGTGGAGTCTGGAATTGACGGACGCGGCTTTTCCTTTTTTTTTTTTTTTTTTTTTTTGCGGTACGCGGGCCTCTCACTGCTGTGGCCTCTCCCGTTGCGGAGCACGGGCTCTGGACGCGCAGGCTCAGCGGCCACGGCTCACGGGCCCAGCCGCTCCGCGGCATGTGGGATCCTCCCGGACCGGGGCACGAACCCGTGTCCCCTGCATCGGCAGGCGGCCTCTCAACCACTGCGTCACGAGGGAAGCCCCGGCTTTTCCTTTTTTGAATTAGAACAGCCGGATGCCAAGACCTGAGGAATCCCACACCATCCAGGCTGACAGGGCTGTGGACGGATGCAGCCCCACCTGGGGACTTGGAATCAGGCTCCCAGACGGCGATGGGCTTCAAGACCGGCGTGTGCACCGGCCACAGCTCCCCTCTGGAGAAGAATGGATGCTGAGCCCCAGCCCGCGGGGACCGGATGCAGAGGGCAGGAGGCTTTCCAGTCCACGCGTGCCTTAATGTGAGTGAGGCTGACTCTGGTCCCCTCCAGTCCACCGTGGTGCCAGCAACTCCCGGGGCCTATAAATATAAACCAGGTGACGCTCACACGTCAAGGACGGCTAACTCAGACCATGGCAGAATCAATGTTAGTGTCGAGAAGAGAAGGGGTCAGAAATGAGCATTTACGTTTGCAGAAGAAAACGTGGGAGTTCAGCGTTGTGGGGAAGCAGAGCTTTATTCCAATCTCTGTGGCCACGACCCACATGTGGGCTGGACTGGGTTCCATCAGGAGTCCCGGGGGCCAGTCCTGGGGCGAGGGCCGCTGTGCCAGGCGCTGGAACACCACTGTGGTGCTCAGCTCTGGGGAAACACGTGGGTCAATGGCGAGCCAGGTGAGGTCTGCAGGCATCCAGGAGCCAAGGATGCCACTGGGGCGAGACCAGCCACGTGACACAGGCATCCAGGAGCCAAGGATGCCACTGGGGTGAGACCAGCCACGTGACAGCGTTGCACCTGATTACAGTGGGGACAAAGACAGCAACCCATCGTGAGGGCTTATCTGCCCTCAAGTCACTGAAGGGTGTCACGGGAAGGGGTGGGTGTCCCTAGCGCTTCAGCCTCTGCCTGATACGGGGACCAGTGCCTCCTTAGCCCGGTGAGCAGAAAAGCCGCAGCGGGATGCCTTGGCCGTGTGAACTGACTAGGATGTTGTCCTCAACAATGTCTGCTGTTTCTTTGGGGGGGTGTTTTTAGGTATTTTTCTTTTCTTAAAAAAATTTTTATTGGAGTATAGTTGATTTACAATGTTGTGTTAGTTTCAGGTATACAGCACAGTGAATCCATTATGCATATACCCACATCCACTCTTTTTTCGATTCCTATCCCACAGAGGTCATTACAGAGTACTGAGTAGAGTTCCCTGTGCTATGTAGTAGTAGGTCCTTATTAGTTATCTGTGTTTTTTTTTTTTTTTTTTTTTTTTTGCGGTACGTGGGCCTCTCACTGCTGTGGCCTCTCCCGTTGCGGAGCACGGGCTCCGGACGCGCAGGCCCAGCAGCCATGGCGCATGGGCACAGCCGCTCCGCGGCACGTGGGATCCTCCCGGACCGGGGCACAAACCCGCGTCCCCTGCATCGGCAGGTGGACTCCCAACCACTGCGCCACCAGGGAAGCCCAAGTTATCTGTTTTATATATAGTACTGTGTATATGTTAATCTTTGTTTGCAGTTTTATAGTAAATTTTAAGCCTTTCTCATCCTTCCTTGACCTTTATTTACCATTCGGCACGAGCCAAGCAATGGGCATGCAGTGATCAACCATGGACAGGTCACTGTTAAAATAGCTGGACTCTGTTACACACACTAGGAAAATCCCCAAGAGCATCAGAGCTAATGTTTATTAAGTACTTCTGATGTGTTAGCCGCTGGGCTGAGTAATTATCTGGTTTCATTCTGACAACACGTGGTGGGGTAGGTCCTGCCATCATTCCCCCACATTTTAGAAGGTGAAGACGGTCTTGCTGGGTCCCCGACCTGTGATGGCCAAGCGGCTGTCCCCGGTGGTCACTGCCTGAGCTCTTCCTCCGGGCTCTGCCACCTCCCAGATAAGGAAACTTGATCCCATTTGGAAGGCCATCGCCTGGGTTGTGGGATTCCAGCTGAGTCCCCAGCACTCCGCCCGCCCGTTCTCTTCAATCACCTCACCACGTGGTGATGGGTCAAGTGTGAGTCGCTTTGGAGAATCTAGAGCTGTACCACCCCAGGGGCAGCATGAGCCACGCACAGGTGTTTAAATTAATCCAGATAAAACAACAAGTCCCGCTCCTCTAGATGCGTCACACGGGTAAAGTACTCAGTGGCGCCAGGGCTGGCGGCTGCTGTCTTGGGCAGTGCAGATGATCTAGAGCGTCTGTATGACTGGATCTAGAGCTTCTCCATCCTGGCAGAGGATCGTGCTCATCTAGACAACCTGTCTAGATCAGCCCTAGGGAAGGTTTTTCTCTCCTATTGTTTTTCTTACCAAAATTATTTGGGAATAACCATAAATGCAGAATGAAGAGAAAGGAAATCACCGATGTGTGTGTGGGAGACGGAGTGGAACGGAAGCCAATGCAGATGCCAGCACTCAGGACAGCAGCCTCTCTAGGCAGCCGGGTCCCGGGGGGCACCGGTCACCGCTGGTGGCCATGATGTCACTGGAGCACCGCAAATGCGTGCTGTCAGTGAGGAGCTAAGGGCAGGGCGGGTCTCAAAGACCCTTAGGGAAAGCTGAGGCTGAGTTAGAGCCGCACGAGACCCGGGCCACCCCCCTTAGAGAAACGCCGTCTTGATGTGGTCGGTGTCCCCTCCTCTGTCCACCGGAGGGCTACAAGGATGCAGCCACACTCAGCTGCCACCAGCTGTGTTTGGGGGTCTGGCAGGGAGGGCCCAGGGTAACAAGGTTAATGCGCTGGATTCCCAGCAAAGACCATTTTAGCAAATAACCACAAAGCTTCTGATTGGCTTCCAGCACCGTTTTGTGGTCCCCAGGAGCAGACACGGGAGCCGTGGCCAGACGTTCCCTGGGTCCTCAAGGGGCCCATCGTGGAGGCAGGATGGACGATGTTTTGGGGTGACGTGCGGAGTGGTCAGCCTTCCCATCGCCACAAACGAGGCTTTCTCTGGCTCAGACCCTGGGCAGGCATGGCCTTTCCCAGAAGCCCCCTCAGTGTCAAGCCGAATGTGTTCATTTTGATGCGAGACCCTCCTCCCAAATGTTAGAAGGCCAAGAACTTTTTGGGTGCTTATCAAACTCCTCCTTCCAGAAGCATCTTTCTTCTTTCCCCCTCACGGGGTGGGAAAGGATTTTTCAATAGTGACTTTATTTATTTATTTGGCCGCCCCGCGTGGCATGTGGGATCTTACTTCCCTGACCAGGGATCGAACCCGCGCCCCCTGCACTGGAAGCGTGGAGCCTTAAGCCCTGGACCTCTAGGGAAGTCTCTCATCAGTGATTTTAAAGGAGATTTTGTAGCAAAGTGTACCGGAGTGGAGGAATGTCCTTTGGGGTGAGGTGGAGAAACTGGAGGAGGCCGGCACGGCTTTAAATGGTGACCCAAGAGGCCAGGAAGAGGAAAGAAAGCGCTAGCTAGCAGCAAGGAATTTCCCAAGTGTCTTTCGGCCTCAAGCAAAACAGGAACTGGAAGGGGAGGCATGGTAGAGGGGGCTGGAACAATGTTAGGAAAACAGAGGGGCTTCCTCTCTCTGCAGGGGAAGACCCCGGCCCACTGCGAGCCCCGGCACGCATGCTTTCTCCCCCGGCTGCGTTGCCAAGGGGGCCGGCCTCGGGATGGGGGAGGGCAGCCAACAAAGACTGATGGCTATTTATTCCTTAATTACCAAAAGCTTTTAAGAAACTGGCCACTGTAAATCCCACATGCAGAGAGCAGAAGGCAATGGACAAGGATTTATGCTCACGGGGCAAAGACAAAATAAATATCTTGCCTGACTTCGGATCAGTATTATGAGTGTTTTTGCCAACCTGCAGGGTGCTTTATGAGCTCGGAGGAACAGAACAGGATCATTATTAATTAAATAAAGTCAACTGCATTAGGCTTATTACTTCGGCGAGTCACAGTTAAGTGTGCCAGGCAGCAGGGGTTGGGGGCGGGTGGGCAGATTGCGGCCCCGGCAGCCCAGGAGTGAGAGTCTGTGCTCAGGTGCAGTACCTGCGCGAGAGGCTCAGCCCTGCGCCCTCCCAGAAGGTGCGGGTAAGGGCACTAGTCTCCCCCAACACCTTAGTCCGAGGTCCAGGTGGAGGCCTGGGGCCCTTGTGGCTTTGTTGTCATGAGCACCGGGCACCTCCCAGCACCTGCCTGTTTGGAACCTGACCGGGCTGAGTGGGAATATATCCCAGGATACAAGCAGTGATGCAAATGCAACATCATCCCTCTAAAGATTTGAGGCAACCTAGGAGGATTTTGCTTCGGAACCTCAAAGCAGGAATAAAGGAGATGTTAGGCTGGGTCACCGGCTCGCGCTGGCCTGGAAGTGAGGAGGCATTAGATGAATTAATGCACAAAACCCGGCTCAAGTTCCACAACCTGTTAGGTGTCTGCGATGTGCTGGTGCTTGCAGGG